AGAGCAGAGCAGGCAGCCCGAGGGGGCTGCGGAGGAGCCAGGTGGGGGGGGGGGGCTCTGAAGCCCTCCCTGTCCCCCCTGCCTCTCTCCCCTGTAATGTGGGGAGGGTTTATCTCACCAGGAGCAGCAGGCTCAGTCACTGATCTAATCAAATTATTCAGCATTAAAAACTGCCAAGACATTCCAGTACTTCAGCTTCCAGAGACCCAGCTGGGATCAAATGCTAATCAACATCGCCACGATATTTATTCCCACTGTCAGGCTGCTGCGTGTTTGTTTTCCGAGGGCTGCATACTAAACCAGAGGAGGAGGATGGATAGGCCCGTGGCAAGGGGATCAGGACCAGGGATGGTCAGGAGGAGGGCGGGCGGGCGGGCAGGAAGAGGAAGGGACCCACAGGAGGCACCTGTGGAGCGGGACGCACGGACCCTCGATGGCTCGTGCTAGACGCAGACTGGCAAGGCCGGAACCCTGGGCTGCCCTTTCCCGCCTCCGGGATCGGGAGTCCCGTTGAGGCCAAACCAGCTGCCGGTTTGGGGCTGTGTGACGACCCCTGGCAGGCGGCGGGCCCTCTCCGAGCTTCACGATCCCTCCTGCCTAAAAAGCCCGCCGCCCCCCCGGCCGGCTGTGGGTTCCACGAGAGGGAGGTAACAGAGGAAGCGGTGCAGGCCCAAGCCTTGGCTGTGTGACTTCACACAGGTTACTTGACCTCCCTGCGCCTCGGTGTCCTCGTCTATAAAAGGACGATGATAATAATGACGGTGCCAATCCCGTGGGCTCACCTGTTGTGACATTTAAGCGTGCGATTACACGGAAAGCGTACCGGGAGAGCTCAGGGTACGTTAGGAATAATTGCTAGCTTTTAACATTATTGCAAGGGTTGGATGAAGTAATGTCCGTAAAACGTACCAGGGCAACTGCAGCAGATAAAGTCTGACGATAATGGCCATCAGGACGAAAGACTGAATCAGGTGGCGGACACTGTCGCGGTGTGGGGGGTGCCAGCCCCTCCCCTTTCCCCGGGCCCCCAGAGGGGCCTCTGCGCCCAGGCAGGGACGGACAGACTTCCAGGAAGTTCACAGGCCTCGAGATTCCTCGGCAGCAGCCAAGCAGAGAGGACGAGCCCCACGTTCGCCCCTGAACTTGGCACCTCTTTCCCGGGATCCAGCCTGCCCCTCGCCCACTCCCTGAAGGTCACAGTGCCCGGGGGGGAGGGGGGAAGCCTAATTAATTTCCTTTGTTTTTCAGAGTTTCATTTTTTAAATTACAGCCTTCCCTCCTCTCTAATAAATACTCAACAATTAAAGCTTTTTTTCCCCAAGTGTGATTTCAACATTTCAATGTCCCTCCCCTCCTGTCACCTTCTCTGCCATAAACAGATTCGTAAAAACTGCTTTTGACGCCCCAGCTGCCATTAGCCACTTAAAATCCCGTAATTATCATCCTATCATGGGCCTGTTAACGAGCAGTAAAAATAAGGCCATTGAATATGGTAATTTATTCGTAAATTAGCCTAATGAGAATAGGTTTCAGACACTGTTTACTTGCGGGCTGCCTACGCCTGGCCGAGGCAGCGATGTGCCTGGGAGGGCGGTCTGGTGGGGCAGCGAGCCCACTGGGCGGTGACGCCCCCTCCCCACGGCTCCGCGCCCCTGACGTTGATCCCCGCTCCCTTCATCAAGATGGTGCTAGGCTTCTGTGGGCCACAGGCCGCGGAAAGGCCCTGCCTGCCTCGCCCAGGTGGTAAGACTCGGCCATCGCCTGAATGCCTGTGCTGACCGACCCTGGGAGGCATCTGTCAGCAGGCTGACCTTGGGCGGGTCACTGTGTAGCCCTCTGTTTTCTCACGTGTATAATGGGACTGGTATGCCAACTAAGGAGTTATTTTAAAGATTGATTGAAATACACACACATACACACACAGCTATTTATATATATTTGTAACTATTAGGGCATTGGGAGATAAAATCTAGAAGGCTGGACTTTAGGAGCTGGCTGGCTTACCCTTAGAATGTATCCTTTATTTATTTATTTATTTATTTATTTATTTATTTATTTTTTCAACGTTTATTTATTTTTGGGACAGAGAGAGACAGAGCATGAACGGGGGAGGGGCAGAGAGAGAGGGAGACACAGAATCGGAAACAGGCTCCAGGCTCCGAGCCAACAGCCCAGAGCCCGACGCGGGGCTCGAACTCACGGACCGCGAGATCGTGACCTGGCTGAAGTCGGACGCTTAACCGACTGCGCCACCCAGGCGCCCCTTGTATCCTTTTTTTAAGTTGAGTTATTTATTTTGAGAGAAAGCACAAGCAGGGGAGGGGCAGAGAGAGAGGGAGAGAGAGGATCCCGAGCAGGCTCTGTGCTGTCAGAGCAGAGCCCGACGTGGGGCTCGAACCCACAAACGGTCAGATCCTGACCTGAGCCGAAATCAAAAGTCGGATGTGTAACCGGCTGAGCCGCCCAGGTGCCCCTAGAGTGAATCCTTATGGTAGTGGGTTGAACAGTGAGCCCTGCAAAAGTCACGTTTACCAGAAACCTCAGACTGTGGCTTCCCTCAAAAATAGGGCCTTTGCGGGTGTAATTCAGTTAAGGTGAGGTCAAACTGGATGAAGGTGGGTCCAAAATCCCAAGAGCGGAGCCCATAAAAGATAAGGACCCACAGGCACAGAGCAGAGGCAGGGGCCACTGGAGGCAGAGGCAGCTTCCCACCAGAAGCGGGGAGAGTCAGGGCAGGCTCCTCCCCTAGAGAAGGGGTGTGAGTCAGCGCTTGAGGCAGAATGCCTGGGGGATGGAGTTGCTTTTTTCTGAGATTTGCCTTTGGCTGAAATTTGGGCCGAGGAAGAGCCTGGGGTCTGAGCCGGACTCTGCCGCGTGAGAGCCCCGGCATCTGAAGGTCCGTCTGGCTTCCTGAGGGCAGGGGCTCTGTCCAGCGTGGCATAGCTTATTTTGGGTGTCATTAATATTTGTTGAGCAAAAACTCAGCCACCAGTCTGTGTAGGATGTTTACCGAGAGCCCTCACCGGTGGGCCAGGTACCTCGCTGGCCTTGGACCGGTCTGCCTGAGACCCAGGCTGCTCTCCAGGGCTCCAGGCTGATGTGGGTGACAGGCATCAAAGGGACCTTTGTAAGAAGTACTACCACCATCCATCAGGTGAGTCTGAAGACCCTGGAGCCCAGGGGAGGCCCCGACAGGGGCTGGGGTCTCGGGGAGGTCTGGATGAGTTCAGCTTTTCAGTCACATCGTGACTGCGTAGTAGACGTCAGCCAGGAGAGGGACCACAGGGGCCGAGTCCTCAAGGCGACAGCGGATCGTGGTGCGTGCTGAGGCCGGTAAGTCAGGTCGTGGGTCTGAGCCTCAGTTTCCTCATCTGTGAAATGGGTTCAATGGCCTGCACCTCCTGAGCTTGGCAGGGAGTCGGTGAGATATAGCATGGCCAGTGCTAGGTTGTGTGCGAGCCAACAGAAGCTGCCATTTCTCCACTGGTGGCGTTGTCCTTGACTTGGGGGGTCAAGTTCTCCTGGGGCCGGAAGCCTGGCAACTTGGCCAGGTGGCCCCACTGCTCTACCTCGGTGCCCCTCTCTCCCTCCACCCTGATCCTTTGCCCTCCACCGGAACCGGGCTTGAGACAGACCCCGGACTCAAACTCGCAAGAAAGGTGGTGTTCCCACGTTCTAGATGGGGAAACTGAGGCCCAGCTATGTGGAGAGGCTTGCCCAAGGTCACCCACATTGCTCGCCGCTCTGCCTGACCATGTTCCATTGCTTCCTTAGATCTGGTCTCCATGCCCAGTTTTGACATCCACCCCAAGGCCTTCCCAGTGCCTGATGCAGGGCTATACAAATCCAGCCCCACACTCAGACCAGTCTCCAGGGGTCCTGAGGCTCCTGTGGCTGAGCTCCAGTGAGCTGAATGGATACGCCCTGTGCCTTGGGGCTCACAGTCTGGTGGGGGGTGGGTGGAGGTCGACCCTATTTTGATTATTGTCGGGTAAGAAACAGGAACCTGGTGTCAGGACAGGGCATTTCACATAGCTGGGAATCAGGACATGCTTACCTGAGGAAGTGATGTGGAACTGAGACCTAAAGTAGGACAAATGAACCCGGAGATGGGCACAGCTAGAATGTTCCAGGTAGCAAGGATGACACGTGCAAAGGCCCTGGGGCAAGAGAAGCCCGTTAAAAGGACAGTGTAACTGGATCCCAGATATGGAGGGGTAACTGATGTGGGGCAAGGTAGGAGCAGCAGGCAGGGCCTGGACCATACAGGCGTCTCTAGTCCTTGGAAAGTAGTTGCGTCTTCATCCCAACAGTGATGGGAAATTTCATCAGGAAGGAGGGCTTCCTGGGCCCTCCCATTCACGTATGGTATGTTAAGAATGGCAACGAGGGTTAGAGGGAGAGGAGGCTGTTTCATTCATGGCCTTGAAGGAATGAATAAAAAGCAGGAAGGGGCAATGGACGCCAAGTACAGCTAACCAGGTTGGTGACTGCATAAAGGCTTTGCAGAGCCACAGGCCCTGGGGCAGGGCGAGGTCCACTGGAAGAAGAGGTTCTCTCTTCCAGAAGTGCTGTAAGGGCTGTGTCTGCCGTGGTAAGAAGCAGCCCGTGTTCCTCAGCCCTCTCATCCTGAACCCAATGCAGTCACTGATCACTACAGAAAAATTGTGCCCTCAGGGGCTGGAACCTGAGACAGTCTTCTCTCTCTTCACTGAGAGGGGGCCCTGGCACCCTTGAGTGGGGAAGCTGACCCCACCCCAGCTGGCAGGGAAGGCAGCTCCCTTTTGGAATCTCCTTTGAAACCAACCTTTTGGATGACTCAGAGCTTTGGGCCCTGGAGATCTCAGATGTCACAAAAGTATGCTGGTCCTAAGATCATCATTTCCTCTCTCCTCTGGGTCTCTCTGTGCAACTCATGCTTTTCATTCCTATGCTCCCTCTCAATGTCTCTCTTTGTCTCTCCGTCTGTCTGTCTCTCTCTCTCTCTCCTCCCTTTTTCCTGTCTCTGGCCCTCAATAATATAAACTTTCCCAACTTAGGCTCCTGTTGCATGCTGGGGCAGGTGCCAGGGACCTGCACCCTATGTTCTCAGGGTCTCCTCACCACAGCCCCATTCCTTTCATTTGCATAAAAGTGGGAAACTAAGGCTCAGAGACACCGGTGTCTTACCTGAGGACACACAGCCTGGAGCGGGCAGGGCCATCACAGCTCAGACCACAGTCCATTGCCCTGTCCAGGGTTTTCCCTCTTCCTGTGGCTGTTGGGAAGAGAACTGCCAGTTGAAGCTCTGCCCCGGACAGGGATCCTGTCCTTGGCGCTCCACTCGCCCCTTGGCTAACAAAAGGTCCCCATGAGGTCAGAGCAGGTGGAACTCAGATTCGTTCTGGCCTTAAAACCAGAGGAGACAAAGGGGCGCCTGGGTGGCTCAGTCGGTTGAGCGTCCGACTTCAGCTCAGGTCACGATCTCGCGGTCCGTGAGTTCGAGCCCCGCGTCGGACTCTGTGCTGACCGCTCAGAGCCTGGAGCCTGCTTCCCATTCTGTGTCTCCCTCTGTCTCTGCCCCTCGCCCGCTCATGCTCTGTCTCTCTAAAGAATAAATAAAAGCATGTTTTAAAAATTAAAAAGACAAACAGAGGAGACACGTGACTTCACCTGCCACATCCACAGCGTCAGCCACCGTATTCTCAGGCCCTTGTCAAAGCTTGGATTCGGGGGCAACGCATCTGAAAAATCACGCACCCCCCGCCCCAAGGCAGCCCCTGTTTTACGCCCCTTCGTGGCCCTGCTGCCTCCACATCCGCTGGGGACCTGGGCCATTTTTCTTCCGTCCCCTGACAGAGGCTGCGAGTTTTCAGGGGCAACCGTGATGAGGTTTCCGACCGACTTTTGACCAAACGGATTTCCAACTGCATTTGAAAAGGAAAATATCTTTCCAATGTACCAAATAATGAAAAATGACTGGGCGAGTTTATAACTGTTGATTTAGCCACCAAGTTCCCCCCAGCCCTGACTCGGGTTCTCTGGAGGTTTTCATCAAGCATTAATTCACTCTCTTTCTCGGCACGCAAAGAAATAGGCCCTTCCGAATCCATCCGGCAGTACATTAGCTTCAAGGCCTGTTGGAAATGGTTTAGCATCTGCTCTTAATAGACACCGCAGCGCACAAGGCGGGCGAGGGCTGGGCTGGCGACTCGGGGAACCGACAGCCTGGGAACTGTCACCCAGAAGAGCCACAGGGCATAGCAGGGGAGTGGGCTTTGGGGGGGGGCAAGGGGACACGAAGCTGGGGGTCCCCAGGTGAGCTAACCCGCATGTGAGGCCTCCAACCAACTTGTTAAAGCCGCCAAGGAAGTCAAGGGAAGGTGCCACGGCAGGAAGAGGTGTTCCATCTATGCTGTGCACTCAAAGTCCATGGAGAGCTCTTGAACACCCCAAAGCCTGGCCACACCTCAGCTCAAGTATGTGAGAATCTCTTGGACAGAAAGGATCCTGGGGAGTCAAGACAGTTGTAAAAATGACTGCAAGGGGTTCCAGCGTACAACCAAGATTGAGAAGCAGCGGCTGCCTGAGCAGGGGTTCCCAAAGTAAGGATCCCCGGGGCCAGCAGCGTCAGCATCACCTTGTTAGAAATGCAAGTTGCCCGGGGCCCCCAGCCCAGACCTGCTGGATCAAACACATTCCTGGGATGGGCCCAGCTTTCCAAGAGATTCTGACGTCTATACAAGTTTGGGAGCCACTGACCTCGCCGGGGATAGGGAAGGTATGTTGGTTTTCCTGGCTATGCACTCATTCATTCATTCATTCCCCCAAGTGGTCATGTGCTTGGCACACGGAGTGTCTCTGCAAGGAGCCTAGCACTGGCCCAGGTACTGGGCATCCAAAGGAAAAGTCAAAGGTGTGATTGTGCACCCAAGGAGTTTACAGTCTTCCCATGGAATTTCCTAGATGATACAGACAAAAGCGAGGGCTGTCAAAATGAGGAAAAGCTTTGACCTTTCAGTAACAGCCTCTTTTCCCTGCCTGCCTACGCCTTCTTTTCTTCATGGGTTGGTTGGAAGCCTCGCCTGTGGCTTAGATCGCCTGTGTGCTCCCACTTTGAGCAGCTAGCGCCCCTGCTAAGAGGTCCACGCGGGCATTCTCCTACTCACATAGGCGTTTGGCATCTAGGAGCCACCCCCGCTCTGAAAAAAAAAAAACAAAAAAACGGCTTCCCTGCCCACTTCTCTCCCCTTCCTGTGTATTTCTCGACAGGAAGTGTTGAAACAGGAAGTGGTCACCTCCCATCTTCTGGGCATCCCGGCCGAGACGCTGTCACGGAAAACGCTCACCTCGGCCTAGTCCTGCGTACGAGATTACCCATCGCCGCCTCCCTCCCAGTGACCCAGGACCACCTATGAGCATCAGGGCCCAGCGCGTGATCTCAAGCTCTTCACGGTTATTACAGGTGTCAACAGGTTGGAAATAAAGCCAGAAGCTCTGTTGAGATTCGGCCGTCAAGATCCAAAAAGGAGCATTCTGCTTCCCGGCATTCCTTGCCAAGGATGATCTCAGATTCATCTGTTCCCATTCACAGTGAGCAAAGGCCTCAAGTTTATTAAGGGTGCGGCTGCGATTTCCCCTTCTCCTGTTCCTGAAATTGCGCCTGGGTGGGGATGCTGATGGTCAGAACTGGGGCAAGTCCAGACAAGAGTGTCCTCGTATTGGCAGCCCAAGATGTCTGCTGCCTACAAGGGCTTTGGTACCTCTCCTTGCTGGTCTGTCCTCATACCATTAGTGCGCTCGCTCTCTCTCCTCTGCCTGCCCCATCTCCACAGACTCATCTCTTTTTTTCATGTTGAGCATTTATTCTGGGAACTCAGAGTTGGATGAGGCACAGCCCTGTCTCGTGGAGCTCACAGCTGGAGCACAGGATGGGGGCAAATGGACAAAGAAACAGACAGTAAAACATGGCTGTAGGAAGCATCCCACTGGAGGCAGTTTGCATACAAGCGTGGGGAGAGCCATTAACACCGCCTAGAGAAATAGGGAAAGTTCTATGAGCAAAGGATACCCAGACCGAGGCAGGTTGGTTTAATATCTCTGGCAGAACCTGCCTGCCTCCCTCAAACCTCATTGATGCAGGTCTCTTTAAGTCTTAGGGAATAGTCTAGAGATCCACAGGGTAGGCTAGAAGTCCCAGGGAATTCACCAGCCCCAATGGAGAGTGGCCCTCACCCACTGACTCTAGCGAGACAGTGTATCAATACCTCAGTTCCCTCACTCCTCGCACCCTAGATGGTGCTGAAGTTTGTGTTTGATGGTGTTTCCTAGAATTTCTCTAGACATTAGATTAATTTAGACTAATCTAGATTAATCTAGGCTAAGCACCCTCAATAACTGGCTTTATAGCATTCCCCACTCCCCTGTTGGGGGCATCCGAGGATTCCCCTCTGCAAATACTTCTTCCCTTTGCATCTCTATCTCCCAGTCTGCTTCCGGGGAGATTCAAGCTAAGATGGCTTTCGAGCAGGAGCCTGATGTCAGGTTTGGGTGTCTGAGAAGGGCTGCCTTTTCTGTCCATGCAGTTGGGAGTTGGACTCCTAGGTCTCAGCATGGACACGTGAGACAAGACAGCCCGTTATTTTGTGCGCATACTCTAGGACACAGCCCAGCCTTCCAGACCTCGGAGTGCTACCAACCTCCCACGACCACAGCCCTGATCAGCTTGCAGGGGTGCTCAGGTCACCCACGAGTGAACACCTGCCCAGAGACGGAATGAGCCCAACTGAAGACCACACAACCCAGCTCCCCCAACCCCATCCCTACGCTGGTGCCTGCACTCAACCGAAAAGCAAAAGACAAGGTGCCTACAAGATAGAAAGTATCCTGATATAAAACCTCGAGAGGGATGGGGCGCCTGGGTGGCTCAGCCGGTTCGTGGCAATCTCACGGTTCGCGGGTTCCGGCCCCGCGTCGGGCTCTGTGCTGACAGCTCGGAGCCTGGAGCCTGCTTCAGATTCTGTGCCTCCCTCTCTCTCTGCCCTTCCCCTCCTCGTGCTCCGTCTCCCTCTCTCTCTCAAAAATAAACATTAAAAAAATGTTTTTAATGCAAGAAGGATAGCAGAAAGGAAATCTCGTAAAGTAGCATAAAACAGCATAACCATCCTATCAGACCCCTCCCCAGTACACTCTGCAGAGCTTAACTATTTTCAGTATGCGTAGTCATACCTGCATCTGTAGCTCCTTTGTTTGTTTGTTTGTTTGTTTGTTTAAGTATAGCCTAGTTCAGCCTAGTGCTCGCAGGTGCGGGATACAGTCAGCCCAGCTCCGCAAAGCAAGGTCAGGTCAGGATGCACCAGCCCCTCTGCATCCCAGAGAGCATCCTTCTCCTCCTCTAAGCCTCAGACTCTGCAGATGCAAACCCAGAAGCTCCGGGGAGGTGGAGGACGTGACTTGCCCGTGGTCACTCTGCCGTCGCCGAGTCGAGGCGGGATTGGGGCCAGGAGGACCCGGCTCCTAGGTACCTGATCCGGCATATTTTGAGGGAGGAACTGAGGCCCAGAGGCAGAAGTGGTCTGCTCAGGGAGACTTCTGAACCCAGGACCGCTGACAACGCGGTCGTCATTGAGTACCCGCTGCATCACAGGGTCGTGCCAAGGGCGGCCATCTTCACCCTGTCTGCTGTGTCCTCCAAAGTGATCACACTTACCCTCCAGTGGCTTTTACGTGACCGAGTCCCCGGTGTGTCTCATGATTGAAAGGGAAAATTAACAGTTAATGGAGAGGAAGGGAACAGGGGGAAAAGGGAGGAGAGAGGGAGAGAGGGAAGGAGGGAGGGAGATCAACCTCAGAAGGACTGTCCCTGGGGAGGTGAGTTAGACTACGAAAGAGCTGATTTCTACACCTGGTTGCAACTCCTGAGAGCTTTTACACCTGGCAACAGGCTTCTTCATGTCTTTGCGCCTCGTCCAATGGCAGTCTGCCTGATGCAGTCACGGACACCATCGAAGACAGCGATCCTAATAATACTTCCGAAGAACTTGCTCTGCGCTCGGCCCTGCCGTACGTCCTTTACGATCTTGCGTCCCCGGCTGCTCAAAATGACCCCACGGGAGGGCATGGATCCCACCCCACCTTGCAGACGGGGAAACTGAGACACGAGTGTGGTCCCGTCACGTCTGGCCACGCTGCCTCTGCTCTCCAGCTGGGCAGCGTGCTGACGGGGCCGCTGGCCCCTGGGTGGGAGGATGTTTGTGACAGAGCCCGGCAACGGTGCTGGGGTGCTCAGCAGACAGTCACTCTTTGCCTGGCCTGCCGGCTTCCGCGCCCTGAAGGCCGGGCTTTGGAATCCACAGATTACCCCCCCCCCCGTGCCCCCTGCCCCCTGCCCCCTCTCCTCCCAGGCCTCCCTTTCGTTAACCCCAGACCTGATGGTCCCTATGAGGGTGGCCGCTCCCGGCAGGGGTTCCGAGCCTGTTCAGGCCAGCCCCTTGGCCGACCGCTCGGTGCCCAGCACCCCATTATCATTCCACCGCCTTCCAACAGAAATTATAAGCACTTTGTGTCAACCCCCGTCTGCCCCAGCAGCTGCGCCGAAGGAGAGCGATTGAGGTCAGCGGAGGCAGACAGCCTACCCATCACGCCCGCCGCGGCCATTCCTCACGCAGCGACATGCAATCTCCCGCCGAGGGTCACCTCTGGGGAAGCGATTCCTCCAAGCCCAGAAGAAGTGCCAAGTGGCAGCGTGGCCGAATCATCATGTGAAACACATTGGAAATAGCAGCCTCAGTAATAGATGGTTCACCAAAGCGGCCCCTTCCTGCCGCGTGTGACCAAGACGGGATTTACTGTAAGCACATTAACCTATTCGTGCTGTAGCACATGGCCCAGGAGCCCGCTTGGCAGGCAGCACAGGGCAAACCCCAGCCGGGCTATGGGGGGACGGGCAGGAGCCAGCAGATTTTATCAGCCAGGGAAAGGAAGAGGTGCCGGCCCCCGGTCCCCGGGCCCCATCCCAGGGAGACGGGCCCGAAGGGGGGGCTTGGCTGGTCGCAGCCTGCTGTCACCTCTGAGCCCCGCGGACTCTGAACTAAGGCTGGATCAGAGGAGAGGCGTCTGGGTTTCTTCCTGCTCCTGCGGACATCGGCAGCGTGGCAACTCCAGACTCTCCAGACCAGCGTGTTTGGGGGCAGGGGTGGGGGGGCGGGGGAGGAGAAGGGAGAGGAGGAACAGGATGGCGAGACACAGAAATATGAATGGAAAGCAGAAAAAAAAACGTGAAGACGATTTGAAGACTCGGAGGGGGACACCCTCAGATGAGAAAAAAGAACATCACAGGAAGAAAACATTCCGAAGGAGACAGAGGAGGAGGCGGGGAGGACAGGGGGGCAGGGAAGGGGCGGGGCGAGATGCAGAGGGCAAGAGCCTGCCTCTGGAAAGCTGGGTTCTGTTTCCACGGAGAAGAAAAAATGTTCTTTGTTATCCAGAGCCTTGAGTGACACCAGCAGACCCCCAAACACCCCCTCTAACACAGCGGCACCCAGGCTAGCACCCACACGCACACACATGCACACACACTCACGTGCACACATGCACCCACAGGCACACTCACGTGCATGCACCCAAGCACACTCATATAGACGCACACGCACGCACACTCACGCGCACGCACACACACTCGCTACACGCGGCCCACACTCAACCCCCGCCCCCCAGCCCTGAACACAATTCACTCCCAGGACAGATAGAGCATTACGTGGTCCCCTCCAAAGGAGACAGGCCCAAAGCAGACTGGGGCTGGGTGTGGGGGAGGGGAGGGATGAGCGGGGCGCCCCGGGAGGGGCCCAGGGAAGACCCCAAATGCGATTGGAGCTCCAAGAGCCCTGGGGCCCGCTGTGGGGCCGCAGCCGCCCCAGGTCTGGACCTCTGCCTCATCCCAGCATCAGGGTCCAGTCTTAATGGGCTGTGGCCCTCCGCTAGCTAGAGAGAAAGGGCCACACGGGCTCCTGGACCCAAGAAGCTCCTGCAAACAGCAGCCGGTCTCCGGGCCCAGAGCCGAGCTGCAGGCTCCTTGTAGGTGCCGTGACCCCCTTCTGAAGCCGGTGGGCAGCTTCCGGCCACCCTCTGCCTGCCTGTCTCCTGCCGCCCCTGAAACCTCCCGGTAATTTGCCAGAATTAACAGATTTATGGCAGCGCGTTGGTTTGGATCAACTTTTCGTATGTACTTTGTGAGAGAAAAACATTTTCCTCTTCCCCGACTTACTGTTTGCCCATTAATACGCTCCACATTCGCTGGTGCTTAATGACTGTTCAAATTTTCTCTGTTCATAGAGAATGTTGTTGTTGTGATTAAGGGTGCCAGGGCTCTCACAAGTACAAACACACCAAAGCCATAAAAAGGGCAATTAATTCTTAAAAAAAAAAATGCAAGAGTGGGAGAGAATGGATGTTCTGTTTACGGAAAAGCAAGAAAGAAAACATATTTCTAAGAGGTGTCCCTTACAGGACAGTAAAATCTCCTGTAAACCACCAGGAAAATGTCACCCGGCAGATATCTGGTCATTGGACGGCCACGTGTCAACCGCTTAGAAAGCCTGACTCTGGACAGATCACTGGGAAAAAAACCACAGCGTGTGGGCGAGGTGGATTTTCTGGCCCGGACTCCGTCCCCAGCTCTGGATACGTCACCTTCTGCCTCGGAACCTTGGATTACACATCTGCAAAATGGGAAGCTGGGCCGCCAAGGACAGCGGTCATGATTCAAGAGGAAAAATGTGTCTCAAAGCTTCCTTTGGTGCCTGGCGAAGAGGCAGACGAGAATGACCCGGCTCCTCGTTTGTTCGCACGTTTGTGGAGCGTCTTCTCCGGGTCAGGCCGTGGGCTGTGTTCTGGGGGTACAGCGGCAGCAAAGACGAAGGGACCAGTCCCAGGCTGTGTAGAGCTGACGATCCAGGAGTAGGGGACAGAAATCTGGAGCCCCAACACGAACTAAATGAGAATAAGAGGATGAAGAATGTGAGGTGGGGGAGGACAGGCAGGTGAGTTGGGCAGAGACAGAGCGGGGAGAGGGGTGACTTAAGTTGAGATCTTCCTCAATCCCATTCATCGTTCCTAACAATGTGTTTCATAAACTCTGAACCCCTCCCTTGATGGCCCCCCCGTAAGCAATTGGGACACATGGAGAGAGAATCATTAAAACAAAGGTCAAGACACATGCAGTGGCAGTTCTCCTTTAAAAAATACATATGCATTTAAAATATATATATTATTTTAAATATATATATTTAAAATATATATGCTTATATATATTTAAAATATATATGCATATATATATATATATATGGCATCTGGGTGGCTCAGTCGTGAATGTCCAACTTGGGTTCAGGTCATGATCTCACAGTCTGTGAGTTTGAGCCCCACATCAGCTCGCTGCTGTCAGCACAGAGCCCCACTGCAGATCCCCAGATCCTCTGCCCCCTCTCTCTCTACCCCTCCCCCCCACTCTCTCTGTCTCTCAAAAATAAACATGTATAACATATATATATATGCCAGAGTTTTTATATTTATATAAATGTATACATTTTTTTATAGGAAGTGGCAAGAGGCACGGAGAAACCAGATATAGTCCCTGCCTCCTGGCGCTTAGAGGCTGGGGTGGGGGGTTCTGACCATGAACTCACGCAGACATCATGATTATTTCAAGAGCTCTGGCAGGTGTTACAAGGAAGGAACAGTGAGGTCCTGGGTCTGTGGCAGGGGCCTGGGGATGCTAAGGCTGAGGAAGGGCTCCTGGGGGAAACAGCAGTGGAGCTGAGTGGGGAAAAAGTGGGGAGGTGAAGGGAGGGTGAGAGATGGCAAAGCATTCCTGACAGAAGGAACAGCATGTGCGTGGGCCACACCAGTGGGAACACGAGAGCGTACTGTGGCCAGAAAGGCCCAGGTTCAGATCCCTGCTCCCCTCCCACCTCCCAGCTGTGTGACCTTGCGTAGGGGCTTCGGGTCTCTG